CGTGCATGTCTATTTTTTTTTACCATGCATTTCCCAATACCTCTCTATGAAGAAACCAACAACAAACTCTCTCTCTCTCTCTCTCTCATGTGTATTTAAATACTTCTTCTCTCTTCCTATCTCTCTCACACACTCTCTCTCTCTCACACACACTGAAAACAACAACTACAAGTCCACGACCAAGTCTTTAATTTCTCCCAAAGAAAACTCTTAGCATCATTTTCCACAACAATGGAGTCTAATAACCCTAACTCCCTCATCTTCTCTCTTTCCTCTTTGAACTCTTATCCAACCACAAGTAAGCTCTCCTTTTTACTTTTATTCTTAACTTTCCTTTTTTTTTTTTTTCATTTTTGGTTAACAAATTCTCAGACATTAAGGTGGCTTGTCAGTAGATAAGGAAAATGGTGGCCAGCCGAAGTTTGAGGATTTCCTCGGTGGCTCGGATCATAGTAGCTTCGGCGGCGGCGGCCGGTTTTCTGAGGAGGTTCAAGCAGCGGCAGTGGCGGCTGAGCCGCCGGTGAAGAAGAGTGCGGAGAATTCCGGTCACCGGACTTCGGTTTTCAGGGGGGTCACTAGGTGTGTTTTTTTCTTAAATCTTTTTTTTTTTTACAGGGACCTTTCGGTTTCCGGATCCACATGGGAACCGACTAATTCAGGATCGAGACGGATAGGACCACAAGGGCGGCAAAGCGTTTTTGTTAATTTCTTTAATTGATTATTATTATTATTATTATTATTATTATTTGTTCCAAAATTAGACATAGGTGGACTGGAAGATTTGAAGCTCACATGTGGGATAGCAGTTGCAGAAGGGAAGGGCAGAGTCGTAAAGGCAGACAAGGTTTGTATAGCACTATATATATAATATAGACATACATGTAATAACATTAGGGTTTTTGCTAGTCGGTAAAACTATTGTTAGACAGATATAACGATGAGATAACTATATATCATTTTCGCTACAGAACGTAAATATACATTTTTCGTTATGAAAAATGTGACGGCTCGACCCGCGTTAGACTGACTCACACGAGAATTTACTGATACTACTTGTTTCTCTTTTTTGCAATATGGGACGTGACGAATGATTGCTCAATGGGCTATTTGGACTGCAATCATTTTTTTTCTTTCAAAATACTTCAGTTTACTTGGGTAAGTACTACATTTAAGCTTCTAGATCTTTCTTCTATGAAGTAAACTAACTGCAAATAATTTTTCTGATATTCTCTTTGGAAATACCTAAATTGGTGTTTTTAATTATTTATTGAATTATGATATAATGATTTATTAATTAAAAAAAAAGGTGGATATGATAAAGAAGAGAAAGCAGCTCGAGCTTATGATCTTGCAGCCCTCAAGTACTGGGGTCCGACCACCACCACCAATTTTCCGGTGAAATATTTTTTAAATTAATTGCCAATTTTTTTTTTCATTTACCTTTTTAAATTCCATTATGTATATAAGATCTGGAGATGCGAATTAGATTAACTATCTCCGACATTACATTATGATCCAACGATCACAAACTCCGACGGAATAGTTTCGTAACAGGAATTGAACTGTATGAGGCATTTTGTTGTAATTATAGGTAACAGATTATAAGAGGGAATTGGAAGAAATGAAACACATGTCCAGGCAGGAATTTGTTGCTGCACTCAGAAGGTTTTTTGGTTTCCTTTTATCCTTATCAGCATAATTAATGTTTTTTTACTTCTCGAAATTAATATTCATGTTTTGTTTTGTTTTGTTTTGTTTTGTTTTTTTTTTTTATTACTTATAGTGTATTATGTTTTTGCTAATATGTGATTTTTTTTTTTACTAATATATATATTTTCAGAAAAAGCAGTGGGTTTTCTAGGGGCGCTTCCATTTACAGAGGAGTCACAAGGTCGGTATAATTCAGATTTTATTTAATATTATCTTCTACTTTTAATATATATTTTTTCAGAAGTTGCACATTAATTAAGAATAATTTTTTTGTCAATAATAATCTTATTTAATGAAGATAGAGATGAATGTTTTGAGAAAAATAAAGAGTGAATATTAAAAGACGTAATATATTTATTAACTAAATAGTAATAGTAATGGAAAAATATGTACAAAAATTTAAAATGATATTTATTTAATTAATAATTGATAAAGTTATAATGACATTTAAAAAAATAGGAGGGAGTATTTTTTTTTCTTTAAAAAAAATTGTATTATAGACAAAAAAAAAAATGGAAATTATGTATAATTTGTGTTTCAAAAAATATATATTCAGGCACCACCAGCATGGGCGGTGGCAAGCAAGAATTGGAAGGGTCTCCGGCAATAGAGATCTTTATCTTGGCACATTTAGTAAGTATTTTCTATCTCATAGTTTTTCCATGCAAATATATGAGGGTGTCTTAACTATTGACGAATTGGAAAGCAAATTATACTTATATTGGTTGTTATACAATATTCTATACAATATTATACTTGCTGTTATACAATATTATACAATATTATGATATTATTTTTTAGAGTATATATTTCAATTTCAAGTAATGGGCATCTAAGATTGAATATCTAAAATGTTCATTCATCTGATTGTTTTTTGTTTTTTATAACTAAAAATGAACAAAAAAATTATACGAAATAAAAGAAAGGAAAATGAATTAATTTTGTGCTAAGAGGTATAACACAATGTCAAACACCAAATAATTTAAATGTACATTTAATATGTTTTTTTTTTTTGTTTTTGAGTTACTATGTTTCTATTGGTTTACTTGGGCGGTGCATTTAAAATATCTCTACCAATAATAATATCAAATAAAATAAGAAAATAAATGAAAATTATGGATTACGTGGCTTAGGATGTTTGCCTTTCAAATCGGTGACACAGGACAAAATGTTTGGCTTTCAAATCCGTGTCACAGATGTCTACTTGGTCTTGTTCTGTATAAGAAATAAATTGTCAGATGACAATAAATGATAGAAGAAATTGTTGAATGAGAAGGCATATTTCATTTACATTATTTTTTTTTAACTACATAAGGAATTGTTGAATGAGAATGCTATTTATATTATTTTTTTAAATGCAACGTTTTATAATGAAAATGTTCATATTTTTCGAAAGAGTATGTCCATATTTTTTTAAAGACTTTGTCACTCTTAATAATTGAGCTAGTATGTCAGTTAATAATTGAGTCAAGGACCAATGCTAGTTAGACGTGACCAAATGTCGAGCCGATTGACTGCCTGGCCCGTTGGGGCGGCAGGCCTCAAATGTTGGGCCCGTAATCGACTCGGCAATTTTTATGAGCCTGTTCAAATGAACCGTCTTTTATGAGCTGGTTCAAATAAACCGGCCCGGCCAGACGGTTCGTTTAACCGCCGATTTTTAAAAAATAAAAAGTAAAATAAAAAACAACTATGGCTCGTCGAAAACCCATTGGCCCGACCCGACAGGTCCAAAATGAATAAAAAACGACCCTGAACTGGCCCTTAAGGGGTTCCGGGCCCGTTTCTAACCCGGCTTATCGTGCCGGGTTTGCCCATGGCCAGGTCTAATGCTAGTGTTTTCAATATAAGAAATTGTGGAGAATGCATAATATAAGAAGTTGTTAAATGAGAATGCATACGCCCTAAAGGAATCAATCCTCGTGGTTGAGCCCCTTTTTTTGCTTGATTTACATTATTTTTTTTTTTGTAAGTAAAACGTTAATAATGAAAGTGTGTACATATTTTTGTAAAGAGTATGTCAGTATAATTGAGTCGAGTCGAGGACCAATTGTTTCAATGTATATGCTTTCATAGAACCAATTAAGATCCAGATTTTGACAATTTGTTAATTTTCGTAAATAGGCACTCAAGAAGAAGCAGCCGAGGCGTACGACATAGCCGCCATTAAATTCCGGGGCCTAAACGCCGTCACCAATTTCGACATGAGCCGATATGATGTGATAAGCATTGCCACTAACAATCTCCCGATCGGGGGCACTACGGTAAATAAACCTAAAATCTCGCCCGGGCCAACATCAAACTATAGGAGCGTGGATGGGTCCCTTTCCACAGTCGATGCCAACAAACTTGACCTACACTCTGCTTCCTCCCCATCTTTTCCCTTCACGTCGCAAAATCCACCCCCGGCACTGAGTTTTGCAATTCCCGTTGTGGAACAAGTTCATCAACCGTCGTCGAGCCTATGGGCCGCCCTAGGCTTCCCAAACCCTAGTCCCGACCTACTCGCCCCTTTCCAAGGGTCCAACACAAGTGGTACATCCGTTCAAGGTACAACACCGTACGGCTTGGAATTTGGGCCCAACTTGTCCATCGATAGTGAAAACGATAATAGTAACGATGGGTTTTTCAATGGGTGTGGCTACAACTATCACGAGCAACACATTGGTGGTACATCATCGTCGAGTCTTGAGGAAGGTACAACTCACGATACAGTGGTTTCTGGCGATGTTAATTGGGTGACATCGACACCACCACAGCTGGCGACACAGTCGTTGCAAGCTGGACAACCGAGCCTATCGGCTTTCCAGAGGCCGATTTTCGGCATGGAGTGAAGAGTAAAAGAGGGGGACAAAAGAGTGAAATCAAGTTTTGAGTTCATGTTGTTTAGTTTGAGTACACAACATCTAGAGGTGGATTGGTCAAAAAGTAAAGGTGTTGTTTTGAGCAACTCTTTATAGCTTTTTTGCATGGATGTGGAATATAATGGAATTGGCAATCATTATACAAAGCAATATAGATGGACGTAGGGTAGTGTATTTTAGCTAGCAGCTCAAATCTTTTAGGGATGTGGTTATGGCGGGAAATTAGAAAATGCTCTATTTTTCTTCAAAATTATAAAAAAAACTAGTACAACACACGTGTAATACACGGGTGTTTTTTAATTTTTTCTTAAAATCTAAAATCAATGAGAAAAAATAGTTAAAGATTTAAATATCTTTTATAAAAATATATATTATTATATATTTAGTATGACATTTTTTATTTGTATGAATTACCTGTGTTATATTATAGTAATTTTTTAACTTGCAACATATAACTACATTAAACATAAATATAATAATTTTATTTTTCTAGTGACTTTTAATAAATATTATTATTTTTTATTATTATAAAAATAAATATAATTTATTTATTTTATATATACAATATGGATGTCAAATCGAAAGATGATTAATTTGATATATTATATATGCAAAATCGATAAGAAATACAAAAATTATCAACTTTTAAACAATTCAATGGCTAATTGAAGGAAACAAATCAAAAAGTCATGGATATATTAGTCATTTAGTGTCTCACTATGTAAAATTACAAAGAATTAAAGGGTTATATTAGAACAAGTGATATTAAAATACATAAGTTAGCTAAATAATATTTATAGAATGTCCGAACCTAGATTATTAATTATTAATATATCAATATTATTTGTCCAAACTTAATTACGAAGCATGATTATTCGCCAAGTAGGATTCCGAAGCACCACAGAAGCAGCTACGTAGGCTGAGCGCATTGGGGAATTATATATAGGGGAGGGGATTCTAATATTGACTTTTTTTTTTTCAATTATCAACTATTAGAAAATAATTATATTTTATACAACCATATTCCATGCAAAATATCCGAATGAAAAAAAGTTGTGCAACATTTTAATTTTTTATTTTTTTTATAAATTCAATTTTTTTTTTAAAAAAAAAATATTGATTTTAGTGGATTTTTAAGAAATGTTAAGTCTAAAGGTGGAATTTGCTTGTGGGGTTGGGCATATGTAATTTTGTGTTCGAAATCTTAAAAAAACTTAAGCCGTTGTAAAAAATTCCGACCTTGAATAAGCTAAATATTTCACGACTTATAAAGGCTCTAAAAGTTTAATTGAATACCTCAAAATATATAGAATTCAAAAAAATTTAAATTAAATACAACAATTTTTTTTTTTTTTTTTATTATTTTTCCACCCCTAATTCCTCTCCCCTTTTCCGCCGCCTATAGTCTCCTTCTCTCTCTTTTGCCGCGCCCCCCCTTCTTCCTCCGGCGAACCACAGCTCCATCCCCGTTGCTCCTCCTTCGTCTGGGCCTTGAGACTAGTAGCCTTTCAGCCTTCCCTGTGCTACACCTCGTGGTGTCTCCGGCCTCGGCCGTGAGCGGGAGAGGGCCATCGGCGCTTGCGCCGAGCAACCCTCTCACGGGCCAGGTTCAGTGCCGTTGTTTTGTCTTGATGCCTCGGTTCGGCCGATTTCGGTGTCCTGGCCGCAGATTCGTCCGGCTGGCTTCGCTGCCGTCTCCTCCAGGCAGGTGTCCGTCCGGTTGGTTCGCCGCCGGATTGAGTCCCCTTAGGATGCGCGAGTTGGTCCTCAGGCGTTGATCGAAGTCGATCCATTCGGGCTTTCGTTTGCCTTCGAGCAGTGGCTTCAGGCTTTCAGATCTGGCGTCGGTTCTACCTAGCCGTTTTCATGGAGTTTTTAGTTCAGGGGTCCGATTCTGTTGCGCTTTTAGTCTTGTTTGTGGTATTATTATTTGTGGTTGCTGGCTTTGTTCTCGTTTGGGTTCTGTTGTGGGTAGTCGGTAGTAGTTGGGGAGGTAGTAGTCTATCGTTAGTTTAGGTGTGTGTTTGTTTTTGTGTATGAGTAATTATTTGGGTTTAGTTGGGAGTTGGGCTCTAGTGGTTCGGGTTCAATGCTGTTGCTATTGTCGGATTATCTGGATCCAATCCCCCTTTTTTATTTTGTCTAGGGTGCTACGGTTAGCATCTCTCCTGATTCCACCTCCTTGGTGCTTTTATAAGGGCGAGTGCCCTTTCGGTCTTCATTGTAAAATCTCCTTTTTTGAAGGAATATAAAATCTATCGTTTCGTGAAAAAAAAAAAGCCTTAATTTGAAATATTAAATGAAGTTAATTTTCCCCTGGCTATAATTACCGACTAAATACAATAGAAATTTCTCTTAACCCAATGAGAATTCCTACAAAACAAGACCAAATGATGCAGCGCATCCCACATCGGGTTTGAAAGGAAACGAAGCAGGCCTTATATGAGGATGTGGATACCTTCACTAGTAAGACGCATTTTGGTGGGTGTGTATTGAAGCCCAGCCAAGAACAAAGCCGTGCGGGTGGCGGAAGTAGCCCAAAGCGGACAATATCTTACTAGGGTCTACATCAGTTGGTATCAGAAGTCAGCACGATTCAAGATGCCGTCGCAGAAGGACGACATCGACGGGCGTGACGCCACCATTGAGTATCCGGGTCGACAAGCCACGGGCTTCGGCTGCCAGATCAATCAATTGGATCGTCGGGTTGAGAATCTTTTGACGGGGATCGAAGAAGTGCGTCTTAAGATCAACAACGTGGATGAGGATTTGCAAACGAACCGTGATGCTGGCAATCGGGGCGTTCGCGGGGGATTTCACGGAGGACGTGGAGGCCGTGGTCCAGGCGGGGCGCCCCGCCGGGGATCTCCACAACCACCGTCCGGCAACGAAGACGGCGAGGATACCATCTCGGAGGTGAATCCCTTCGGCGAGTGGCAACCTCCGCACGTCGAGGCAGACCCCTTCGCTACATACGGCGGCCGTGACATGTGGCGATGGGGCCCGGTCTTCATGGACGGCGACGATCAACGCAGCGATAGGGGCTGGCGCGAGGAGGCAGCCTTCGTTGGCGGATTTCGTGCCCGGCACGATTGGGGACTTAATCGCGAATATGGTAAATGGGAGGGCCCGTTTCACGTTGACATCCCAGAATTCGACGAAGAGCAAGTTGACGGGTCATTATACGATGGTCCACCGGTGTTTGATGAAGAACCCGAGGAGGTGAAGGAGTGTCTTACCGGTGAAGTGGACAGTCTCTACGACGGTCCGCCGATTTTCGATAAGGAGCCTTCGGGCCCGGAGGAATTCAATCATGTTCCGGGCATCAAAATTCAGCTGTTGGAAGAATTTGGTGTTCGATTGGTAGTTATTCTATTGCGCAGGCCCGAGCTTTTCTCCTACGTGAATTTGTTGCGATCTTGCAAACAGATGTTGTGTTTTAGTTCCCACGGTGACTTCAAAATGATGTGTGTAGCTGCTGCATATATGTCTTTCCATGACTTTCAAGGGGGTGATACCATGGGAGTGAGGCATTCAACCTTCGTGTTTGACCGAGGAAAACGACGGGAGTTACTACCAGGGGTTCGACACCATACGCCGGGCACGGGTGCGCATCGGCTTCGAGGGCGAAGCCTTCCAAACCGGGGGAGAATGGTGTAGATTAGGATTATTATTATTATTATTATTATTATTATTAT